TGATGTCCCTGGTATGTTTAATGATCTGCTAAGTATAAATTTGATCACACTTCCTGAGATAAAGCGACCTGACGAGTCCAAGAACACTGATGATCCAAACTATTGCAAGTATCACCGCTTGGTTGGGCATCTCATTCAAAAATGCTTTGTCTTTAAAGACAAAGTAATGGAGTTGGCGAGACAAGGAAAAATTCTCCTTGAGAAAGACAAGGCAAGTGTGAATCAAACCACCATTGATTTTCTGCAATCCATGGAGGTTAAAAAGGTTAGGGTACCTGCATTGCCAACAATTCAATTTGGATCACTTGATCCCATAGAAATCAAACAAGAAAGTACTCCTTCAACTCTTCAAAAACATGCATATAAAGGTGAGAAGACATTACTGCCTAATGTGGATGATGAAGGGTGGACTTTAGTCACGCGAAAAAGAAGGCGACATTCCTGTCCATCTAGTAAGGTAAACAAGGTTTTAACAAAAAGTTTGATGATCTGGAAGGGGAAAGAGAAGGATGTAAAGAGAAACAATGACTGTCGTAATTTTCAAGGAAGTCGAATCTGCAAGCAAAAGTCACGAACTTCTGTCACTCTAAAAGAATTCATGCCAAAAGAATTCTTTGATGTTGATGTGGTCACAAGTCACACAACGTGAGTGGATCATGTCGAAAAATAAAAAGATAATACTCATGAATCTCTCTGTGAGATAGCCCGTGTGCCTACCGGCGATGAAAAAGGTCGTGTGCCCACAGGCAATGAAGAGGTGAACGTCACAAGTGTCACTTTCACTAGTGAAGACTTGTTGCTTGGGTCAACACCGCATAACCACCCTTTGTTTGTGACTGATTATGCAAATGAGTAAAAAGTGAATAGAATTTTGATAGATGGAGGTTCCGCAGTCAATATTCTTTCTTTAAAAACTCTGAAGAAGCTCGGTATCTCAGTCGATGAACTCTCCAACAGCCGACTGATGATTCAAGGTTTTAATCAAGGAGGGCAAAGAGCTCTTGGATCACTGAATTTGGAGATAGTCATTGATGACATGTCATCCAGAGCATTGTTGTACGTGATAGATGCTAAAACAACATACAATGTACTGTTGGAAAGGCCCTGGATTCATAAAAATGGAGTTGTACCATCAACTCTTCATCAATGTTTCAACTATTGTCAAAATGGGGTGACAAGAAGTGTGAAAGGCGATGATAATCCTTTCACTGAGGCGGAAGCGTATATCGCTAATGCCAAATTTTATATCAAAAGTCACAATGCGAAGGATAAGTCTGAACAACCTCTATCTATGGATAAAATCCAGAACCCCAAATCGTCGAGGGCAAAAGGGGAGAAAGCGATAAATTCGAAATCAAAAGAGGAAATTCATGAAGAAACTGATGTTTCATTGCCAAACAATGAATCAGTTATTTTTCGCTATCCTCCTAAGTCAAGAATGGAACAGGGACAGTCACCTGCAATTCAACATGATCCTCTAAAAGGTTTGACTCTTCCGGTAGTTCATCTTGATACAAAGAAGGCGTCATTTCCTCCACTTAAAAGGTCTAATCTTTTAACCAAAGAATCTGAAGTCGAACAAGACACCATACCAAAATCAAGAATCAAAAAAGATTTTGATCCCATTGCTTATAAGCTTCTCGCTAAGGTTGGATACGATCTCAAAGAATTTGCTGTGTCAAATGTTCCGTCCTGTCAATCCACTAGTGACATGATGCATGGGTTGAATCATACCCAAAATATGTTAAAAGAAAAAGGATATGCCTTTGAAAATCCCAAATTTGATCTTGGCTATTCCTTCCCTATACCAATCCGCATCAAGATCAACAGAGCTAGCAGCCAATATATTGCTATGGAGGATGAGTCTTCTCAAATATCCGGTAAATTTCAAACTTTTCACAAAAAGGAGAATAAAGCTCCGCGGGTATCTGTTTTTAAGAGGTTAGGAACGCAAAGAAAACAAAAACCTCAAAACTCTCATAAGAGTAAGGGAAAAATGGCAAAGTTATTGCAAAATCTTGAAGAACCTTCTGATTGTTCTCATAAATTTGGTAGCATTATTCCATCGAGAATGAGAAGATGCACAGACCTAGTAATAAAGTGTGGAACTGAGTTGAGGGTCAGGAAGCATACCGTGGTGTACACAAGACCAAAAGAAAATGATGAAGAGAGTGTTGTTTTATGCAATCATATAACCCTAATTGACAGTGACTCTCCTGAAAAAGAAGAAGATGCTGAAAACGCTCCACCTGAAATGAAAAAAGGTGTTAAAGCCACTGTGGATGATCTAAAGGAAATTAATCTTGGTACTTCAGAGGACCCGCGTCCAATATACATAAGTGCTTTATTGAACCCTGACGAAGAAAAGGCATACATTGAACTCTTGCGGGAGTATCAAGATGTTTTTGCATGGGCTTATAAGGAAATGCCAAGTTTAGACCCAAAAGTGATCGTCTATCATTTGGCTGTTAAAAAGAGAGTTCGACCTGTGAAGCAAGCACAACGGCGGTTTAGACCCGATTTGATTACATTGATCGAAATTGAAGTCAATAAACTTATTGAGACTTGGTTTATTCGTGAAGTTAAATATCCCACATGGATTTCAAGTATCGTACCTGTGCGAAAGAAGAATGGGCAAATCTGCATCTGCGTCGATTTCAGAGTTCTTAACAATACTTGTCCTAAAGATGATTTTCCTTTACCGATCACTGATCTCATGATTGATGCAACTACTGGGCATGAAGTTCTGTCATTTATAGATGGCTCTTCTGGATATAATCAAATTCGATTAGCACCGGAGGATGAGAAGCTCACTGCATTTCGTACTCCTAAGGGTATTTATTGTTATAAAGTAATGCCCTTTGGTCTCAAAAATGTTGGAGCGACATATCAAAGAACAATGCAAAGCATCTTTAACGACATGTTTCATAAAAATATCGAGCGTTATATGAATGATTTAATCGTTAAATAAAAAAAAATAATCACTTGGAGGACTTGAGACAAATTTTTTATCAGTTGAGAACGTATCAACTCAAAATGAACCCTCTCAAGTGTGCATTTGGAGTCACGTCTGAAAAATTTCCTGATTTTATGGCTCGCCATCGGGGTATTGAAATTGATCAGGCCAAAATTGATGTTATATTGAGAATGCCTGAACCTTGTGACATTCATGAATTGAAAAGTCTTTAAGGGCGATTAGCTTATCTGCGGAGATTTATCTCAAATTTGGCAGGAAGGTGTCAACCATTTAGTCGCTTGATGAAGAAAGATGTGTCATTTCAATGGGATGAGACTGTAGTAATGCATTCAATAGCATTAAGTTTTATCTTATGAAAGCACCTGTTTTGCCTGCACCTATTCATGGAAAGCCATTGCTTCTTTATATTGCTACCCAAGAACGGTCAGTGGGGGCATTGCTTACGCAAGAAAATAATGAAGGAAAAGAGGTTGCCCTTTATTATTTAAGCAGAATGATGACCCCTAACGAACTAAACTATTCGCCGATTGAAAAGTTGTGTTTAGTTCTTATTTTTGCAATACAGAAGTTAAAACATTACTTTCAAGCACATAATGTGAGGCTCATTTCCAGGGCGAATCCCATAAAGTATGTGATGAGTAGGCCAGTATTATCCGACCGTTTAGCTAGATGGTATCTTCAGCTACAACAGTTTGAGATTATTTATGTGCCTCAAAAAGTTATAAAAGGAGAAGTTATGGTAGATTTTCTTGCTGATCACCCGATACCTGCTGAATGGGAGTTAAGTGATGACTTACCAGATGAGGATGTACTCTTTATTGAGATTCGCCCACCATGGAGAATGTATTTTGATGGTGCTGCTCATCGTCATGGGGTTGGAGCGGGGATTGTATTCGTAACTCCTGATGGAGGGATATTGCTATTCTCTTTTACTCTAAATCAACATTGTTCAAACAATATCGCTGAGTACCAAACTCTCATACTCGGACTTGAAATAGCTTTCGATATAGAACAGTTGGACATTCAAATCTATGGTAACTCTCAATTAATGGTTAACTAACTTTTGGGAAGTTATGAAGTCAAAAAGGCCGAGTTTATTCCATATCACAAATATGCAACGCGACTTATGAGGCGGATTGGAGGTGCAAGTATTAAGTATGTTCCTAGAAGAGAAAATAAGCAAGCTGACGCATTAGCTGTGCTAGCCTCTTCACTTACCATCCCGAATCATGAGATACAAGTTTGGGTATGTCAAAAGTGGATAGTCCCGTTACTAGTTGATGATGAAGATGTTGAAGGAGGCGACGCTCATGTAGTCTCAACTTATGAAATTAACAAAGAAGATTGGAGACAATCCCTCGTTGATTATCTCAAGTATCAAAAATTACCTGAGGAGCAACGTAAGAGAACTAACATCGAACTGCATGAGCTAAAACTGACATAAAAAATTACTCCATGACGCATGAGTTGAAACTGCATGTTGCTCCAGACCCGCATGAACTAAAACTGTGGATAACAACCATCAATAGTGTAGCACGTGGTTAAACTGCTGAAATACTCCACCAAATCTAAGGTGGTAAACAAAAGAATACTCCTGACCCGCAAGAGTTTAAATTGTGAACGGTAGAAATTACGTGTGACTTGATTCTCTTTTGGGATACATAGGCAATTTAGAGGGCAACTTTTAAGTTCAGTTACAACCTTATAAAACTAAAGTCTTTGTCCGGATGATTCTTTTGATAAAAAATAAGAGAGAAGGTTCATCTTTAGGACAGTTCGAATTATTTTGTGACATATACTTGAAAATGTATTATTCAGATTACCAAATTATTTGGATTACCAAATTATTTGGATAATTACCTTTTCAAGTGTGATCAAAACTATGCAAAGATGGAATTGTTCATACTACAGTTGATAGTCTAAAATGGTGGCTATCGAAAGAGCAAGTAAAGACGAGAACGTCTGCAAGAATGTGATGAAAAGAAAAAAAATCAAGTTTTATTATGAAGTGCTTGTACTCATAACTACACGCTTTGAGCAATTAACAAAAGATGAAATTTGAAACAAAGTAAAAGATGACAACTATTCCTAGAATTCAAATGACGACAACTCCTTTCGGTTGTTTTCAAGTAATGCTTGCATCTTGTCCAAAGTTTGACTTTCCTCAGTAAGTAAGGGCGGGAAATTCTCAATCTTTCGAACTTCATTTTGTAAGTCGACCATTACGCCTTACACTCAGGTAAACTCATCTTGCTCTTCGCGTAGCAGTGAAAGCGTCTCCTTTTTGTGGGTATCCAAGAACTCAAGTCGCTTCCTCAACTCTATTTCCTCGCGATCAATCTCCTTAAGCTTCAGCATATGCGTTGAGATCTTTTCCGCTTGTTGTTTCTCCTTACTCTGAGCATCTCTAAGATGTTAGATGGCCGTAGAAAGCAACTCATCATATGATTCAGTTGAAATTTTGTTTGAAAGAGAAGATTTCACTGCGACATAACGAGCTGCATTTGCAAAGAAAGCCTTTAAAAGGTCTTGAAAATTTTAGATATTTGTGGCATTGAATCTTTGCATTTCCTCCATGATTTCGTTGGCTTTCATTTCAAGCGCAGACAAGCGCTGCAAGGTTGTTTGAGATATCATCACCCTCAAGTTATTCCACAACATTTGGATATAGTATCGACGGCATGTTGAGATCACACTTTGGGGCAAAATTCAGACACTTGAGGTGCCCTTGGCCACGATGGAGGATCAGAAACTTTGAGTTTCTTTTTTGCCGATGGAGTCATATGTTCCGTCTTCTGTGGCGTGATTTGCTGAATCACATTTCCATCCTCTACTGCCTTTTTGGAACTCTCACTAGCACCCTTTTGTTGGGTAGAGCTAACCACTTGTTTGTCCAGAAGTTCAAATGCAGTAGGTCCTTCAACTGATGCTTGGCTTAGTTCTCCATCATCAATGAAGATCAAGTCTTGACCATCCAACTGTAGGAAAAACGTTATGAGACAAATCATGAATGTGAAATTAACAAGCAAATTTCAAATGCTAAATTAAAGAAGGCAAGGAGAATCCTTACAATATTAGCACGGCTTATACCAGGCACAGATATATCCGAAATATTTTTAAAGAGTTCTTTAGAATCTAAACCAATATCATCCAAGGGGAAAGTCATTACCTTGGATTTCTTGCGCTTCCAATGTTGGTCCGTGCTAGTGGATTGCTCATCATCCTTATTAAAAAGTTCGTAACTCTTCTTCTCATGTGAATTGCAAGAATCATGATCAATAGCCTTCACAATGTTTGAAGGAAGATGAAATGAAGTACCCTTCGAAAATTCTTCATTAGGAGTAAGGTCCTCAGGGGTAGCAGCCTTGTTGTTTGAACTCTTCAAAATTTCCTTCTCGCTTCTCATAGTCTTTTGCTTCATCTCAAGACTATTGCCAACCTTGGAAAGATTGTTCAGGTTTGCAAGTTCCTTCATTTTTGACTTTTTCTGCTCCCCATTCGATTGGACACTCTTAATCAAAGCATTACGCCCTTTGAGGAGATGATCATCATGCTCCATAGACTACCATGTTTGAAAGCCTGAAGCTGTGTGCTTGCTAGCATTCAAGGGATAGTTAGAAAAAAGTACCTTTGACTCTGTTTTACTGCAAATGGCAATGCGCCAGAGTATTCGACTCAAGTCATAATTTGTGGAACGAACATCTGCCCCGAGTTCCTGTGGAGGAACTTGATAAAACCTGAATTGCCGCGCGAATCTATATGGACTATATGGCTCAACAAGGAAATCCCCTTCAGCATGCAAAACTAAGTAATTTGAGCTGGCGCTTACAAAATAACTTTGTTCAAGATTCGCTAATTTGCCATTGTCAATAAAAAGTTCATTGCGCTTCTTTACAAGAGAAGTGATTCCCCAAGTTGCTTTGTCTCCCTGATGAATGAGGTCGTGAGCACTATTTTCATCAAAGTATCGTGCACCACCCTCTCCAAAATAGTTGGTCATGGTGGGTCCAAGTATGGTATTTGGAATCGAATAATGGGTAGAGAAATAACTAGCTAACCAAGCATATATGTAGTGCACTGGAAAAGCCATACGTGCACACCCTGGGGTAGTTGAGTTTCAAATTTTATGGAGCCCACGGTATATGTTTAGCAGGACAGGAACAGCAAGGCAAGTCTTACGACTGGCAGCCATCGTATTAGTCATTTTGAAAGTAGATGGTCTAATATAATGGATGTTCTCATCTGGTAAAACAAAGACACAAAACCAGCAAGATATAAATGCTGCAAGACAAGTCTCTTCCCGCAAGTGAATTTTAACTCGGATGGTATCAAATATGCCATTGTATTGACTTGAAAATTTGCGTGGTTGTCCAATTCCACCATCCGGATTTTGGGTCGTTTGAGCACAAGATGCCCTCTTTATCCTTCTCTGTTTTGGCTTTGAGTACTTGGTTTTGCCTTTAAACCAGAACTTAATTTATTGGGCAGCAGAAATTCCAGTTTTGTTGGATTCCCCATGTTGAAGATGATGTAAGGCTGCGAACAAATACTCACAGTTTTGTGAAATATGCCTTAATTTCTTTTCATTAACTCCAGTTAGCTCCTCTACTCATGGAATTACCTCTTCATAGATACCCCCGATGATTGGAAGTCCTCCTAACTTGTGCAAGTTCCAAAGTGAGAGAGACAATTCTCCGACAGATGTATGCAAGGTATTAGTGTCCGGCTACCACGCCTCGCAGAATGCCCTAAGTACATGGGAATTCCTATCATATGTGAAAAGTGAAGCATATAAGGCGTCAAACAAGTAATTTTCACGGAGCACTTGTTTGCTCCTGCCGAAGATATCCTCCAATCACTCCCAGTAATTTTCGATGTAACTGAATGCACAATTGAGTCTCAAGGAAGGACCCCAGTGTGCATCTCCGTCTATGATCTGCCTGCCAAGGGTTTCAAAGGGAGTTGTCCTTGGCTCCTTATTGTGAATAAGGGATCTCAAGGAGTGAACTTTCGTGCCGTCATCTTGAGAAAGTTCAAGTGACCAGTCCTTCAGTTTTGGGTACTGGTGAGAAGGCCACTTATCAGAGTAAGTTCCTTGTATAGAGGGATGCACCAATAATTTCGTTCCTTTGTCACCAGAGTCACCATCGCTGTCAGCGATAATGAGACACTTTTCGTTTGAAGATATAACTTCCTTGAACACCACCATTGTATCAAGACTAATCTGCAACAAAAGCAAGGAAAAAGAAATTTTGGTTAAAATGACATGATCGAAGATAGTAAAAGACTTCTTGAATTTTGGGTGAGTTTTTATTGAAATGGGTAATCGTGTCTCATTCTTTATGTACTCCTCAAGCCATAATATGGCTCTCGTGGGAGTTTGCGGTTGTGCTTTCTTCAAATTTTGGTTGCGCCATCTTCTTTGTACTTCTCAAGCCATAATAGGTTGTCATGGGAGTTTGCAGTTACACTTTCTTCAAATTTTGGTTGCGCCATCTTCTTTGTACTTCTCAAGCCATAATAGGTTCTCATGGGAGTTTGCAGTTACACTTTCTTCAAATTTTGGTTGCGCCATTTTCTTTGTACTTCTCAAGCCATAATAGGCTACCGTGGGAGTTTGCGGTTGCACGTTCTTTAAATTTTGGCTGCGCCATCTCTTTTGTACTCCTCAAGCCATAACAGGCTCTCGTGGGAGTTTACGGTTGCACCTCTTCAAATTTTGGTTGTGCCATCTTCTTCATGTACTCCTCAAGCCATAGCATGGCTCTCATGGGAGTTTGCGGTTGCGCCTTATTCAAATTAAATGTCCACCATACAGGATGTGTCTGGGATCCTCCTTTCACGTCAGGCAAAAAAAAACAAGAGGGGGTTCTGGCATTGACAAGAAGTAAGGTCATGGAGTATGCAAATTACCTTGGTGTTGTGAATTTCAAGAGCTGTGGTCCTAAAATTGTGGACAAAATTAGAGCACCAATTTGCTTCAAATGAAAGGTATGAGCACGAGATGCAACCTAGAGGGGAAAAAAAATCTCTTTGAGATCGTCCTGTGCAAAAAAAAAAAAAACATTTTTTCCAAGGTGGAAATAAATCAAGTTTTGATAGATCTCAATGAAATTTGGCGGACATCTGTTACTCGACCAGCATGTAGTTATCAAAAGGCAGTAAAGATGATTACCTTCAGGGTGCACGTGTGAAACAGGTTTCTTCCTCAAATATTGTGGTAGTTTTCAGTAAAGATGTTTGTCACAGCTTCAAGACAAAAACATGTCTTGTGCGGCTTTACAAAGTGCTTGGATGAATCATTTTAAGAAGTTTTAAATTTTGGGCAGCTACTGAATTCAGTGATTGCCATTTTATTTTTTGGAATCAAATGAATTTGGTTCCTAAGATTAACTTCAAAAGCTGAAAGTCGGTTTAGGAAGCTCTTGAAATTCGGCAATCAGAGGTGCTTGGATGAATCATTTTAAGAAGTTTTAAATTTTGGACAGCTACTAAATTCAGTGATTACCATTTAATATTTTGGAATCACATGAATTTGGTTCATAAGATTAACTTCAAAAGTTGAAAGTCGGTTTATGAAGCTCTTGAAATTCGGCAGTCAGAGGTTGCCAACATTTGTTTTGAAAGTACATTTTCGATTTAGGAAGTGTTGAAACTTTGCGAATTCCATATTGCCAAGTGCCAAAAGCAAGATTTGGTAGTCAGCGACCTAAGAGCAAACTCCAAATTTTGGCATATAGTTTTCACGCAGAAGCCGACATCGCATAACAAGATGGGAGTTTCTAATTTTGACTAATCAAAGCTGTGGTCTGGTATTGCGGGGCGGCATTTCCAAAGACTACTAAATTAAGAATTGAAAGATTCAAAGTGGAGACTCATGACCATTGCCTACTCAATTGGAATTTGAGATGCAATTCTTCAATTGATATGAATGATTCTCTGCTAGACAAAGAATGGGTCACCCATATGCTGAACGTTTGAAGCATCTAATTTGGTTTGACTTTAAGTCAACAGTAAAAGATTGATACTTCAAGTCTTGCCTCCAGCGATTGCATGCAATGCTTCACCAAATCTTGAAGTGGGGGCATTTGTAGACAAAGAAAATTTATTTAATTTATTTAGTTAAGATTGATTTAAATTAAATTGATCTTGATTAAATTAAGTTAAATTGTAGAAGTTCATTATGTTTTGAACTTGCAAATTGGGCCAATATTATATGGGCTATTAAATGAAATTAAATTTGCAATGTCCATTTAAGTGGAAGTGAATTAATTGATTTATTAATTCACAATGGACTATTTGGGTTGGCCCATTATTTAAGCCAAAGTTAAATGGATTTCTTGAGTAACAAGTAATCCAAAATGCAGGAAGATTCTGAGGGTTTTCTTGAAAACTTAGCCTACATATTTTGGCTATAAATAAAGGTCTTCTCTCAAGGCAAAGATACGAGAAAAATCCCTAAATTCTGGAGAAATTCTGTCAAATTTTTTCAAGAGTTTTCTTCCTCAAATCTAAGTCCAAATCAAGTCAAACAAATCCTTATGCTATCGGTGTTGAAGACTTGAAGTTCTAAATGTTTGACACCATCATCAAATCAATCGTTTTCTACACCGAAATTGTAGGAAACACCCTTTCGATTGGAGAACAAGTCTTTTCGGCCCTTCAATTGAAGCTATTTGAAGAAAAGAATCAGGGGATTAATTTCTTTGATTCAAGAACTTTCAGATATTGTAACCCGCTTATTATTTAATTTAATAAATTTGATATTTGTGCAAGTTTTCTTGTCTTTTATTTTAGGCAACAAAATTTGTGCTTACAAGAACTAAATCCCTAATTCTAGTCAAGGGGGCAACTGCCGATTTAGTTCGGCAATTACTGTGAGATCTAAACCATTTTTAATTGTTTCCTTCATTTATTGGTATTTTTATGTTTCCTACTTTTAATTGTTATAGCTCTTGTGTTTGATTGATTAATGCGCAATAATTAATTATTGGGTTAAAAACAAAAAAGACCCCTGTGCTAAACCTAATATACAAATAAGCCATCTATGGTTTCAAAATATACAACGCGACACCTTGTGCTTCGAACTAAGTTGTAACAGTGACGGAAATCGGTAAAATTAACGGTACTGATGTACTGGAAGTTAAAAACAAATTCTTTATACTTAATTTTTAGCAAATATTCCTATTGTACCCCTTAGCCCCCAATAAAACATTGCACGCGCCATCTATATATATGGAGTGAAGAGTATCATTACATCATTTCCCTTTCTCGTTCCAGGCTAGAAGGGGCTTTAGAAGCCGTCTCTTTCATCTGCATTTAAGCCAAGTCAAAATTTCTTCCACGTTGGAGAATCCGGCATGCGAGTGGTAGCATATTAGACTCACTTAATGGTACTCAAAAAGAGTTCAAATTAAGATTTCAGTGACTACTGGTGCATCGAAGCCTGGGTCCAACAAGATAATGAAGCAGCTGAACTTTGCAACAGTTTCAAGAATGTCCACAGCTTCACAATAACAGCAACCGGAGAAATTAAAGAGACGGCTACTAGGAGTTCAAATGTTCTCTGATTTTACAACTGTGCTTGGAACGGTTTGTTAGAGCAAGTAGAGGTCCACCGTGCTAGGAGCATAAAGCAGGGACTAGACTTTCAACTTTCCATCAATTACAATGCGCGGGGAAAAAATATCTGCAAGAAGACGTCAATTTGGACATTATACAAGAAAACGTCAAAAATATCTTGCTTTCCCCCCTCTCTCTCTCTCTCTCTCTCTCTCTCTCTCTCTTCGTAGGGTTTGAAGGGAAGAAATGAGTCCGTTCAATTGCCTTTTGGGTATTATACAAGGGCATTTTGGTCCTTTTATCAGTTCCTGTTAATTTTACCGATTTCCATCAGTGTTACAACTTAGTTCAAAGCACGAGGTGTCGCGTTTTATATTTTGAAATCATAGAGGGCTTATTTGTATATTAGGTTTAGCACAGAGGGCTTTTTTGTTTTTAACCCTTAGTTATTGATATAGGCTATTTTGCTAATTCGGGGTAATTGAATCCGTAATTGTTCGAATATCTCTATCTCAGTAGCAACTAGCGTAATTAGATTTGTGTCAGGGAAACATATGATCTAACTTAAACAAACTTTTGTAGTGTATTTGTTAGTTAGGATTGAGTTTTTCTAATTATTAATGCAATCTAGAAATTAAATCTTACGGTCGTACCTAGGGTTGTTTCCGGGTTGGAGAAATAGTTAATGGTCATACCTTAACTATCGAGAAATTAAAGAAATGTTGGTTGTTTATCACGTGCATGACAACTATAACTAATTTATTAATAAATATTGAAATTATCTGTGAATCGATGATCGGTGCGTGAACCATTTCTGAAGTGTACCCTTGGCTAGAGTTCTCCCAATTATTCCTTTTAATTAATTATTTTCTGCATTTGATTTATTTAGTTCATTAGCATTTAATCCCAAACCCCCCATTTTATCTTGACTTGAAAGGAAATAAATTTCTTCCCAGTCCCTGAGGAGACGACCCTACTTGCCACTGTCTACTAGTTAGTAAATTTAGTCAGATAATTGATTCGGGTATATCGAATTAAGCAAATTCTTCGGGAACAGGATGAATCAAGTAACCTATTGCATACTTAAAGTCCCTGCTCCAGTACCTAAAATTGATTATTGACTACTTTTGGTGGTAGTTAGGTTTTATTTATTATTATTGCACAGGTTCGGCACCTGTCATTTCCCTCTTTTATTTTACCAAATATTGCATTAATTGATAGATTTTGCTTATATTTAATGATTGGTGTTGGTTATAGGGATTCGGAGTGAAAACAAGTTAAAAATGTAAATTTTAACTAATTTTTGTACAATTCAATGTGGGCGCATCAAAATTTAATTATGCAAGTTCGGAAACTCGGGAGTTGGCGCGTGACTTCTAGTCTTCTATTGGAGCCGTGGAAAAGACTCTTTATCAACTGAATAGTTTCCTATTCTTACTAAGAGATTAATCTAGTCTATCTATTAGGAGTTTGTTTTGTTTTAGGAAAAGTAGTTTCGATAGGAATAATAAAAGCTACAGGTCCAAGACATTAGATAGTAACTTTTCTTTTCTCCTTTATCAGGGAGAAGCAGACAGACGTCTTTCCTTCTCTCTTTGATATCAATTTAGATTTAGAGAGAATGGCCGCAGGAATTATTTCTAATACTTGGCACATGGCTTCCTCCTTGGGTATAAACTAAGCTTTTCATTCTAATCAAAGAACAATGGAGGATTTGGTTCATCTAAAATTGTGAGATCGAATTGATTATATTTATTTCTTTTATTTACTGGTGTTCATATGTTCTCTGATTTAATTTTTTGTGGTTATTATATTATTTGAATATCAAGGGCCAGGTATTTAAATTAATCTAATAACCTAAAATCAGTTAGAGCAGTTAAATATGTAATTGTTTAATTGTTTTAAATTAGTGGTGACTGACATGATTGGATTTGTGTCAGGGAAACATAGGATCTAACTAAAATAACTCTCATAGTATGTTATTTGATTAGAACTGGGCTTCTCTAATTCTTAAGGTTATTAGGAAATTGAACTCTAAGATTTTACCTAAGGTTACTTCTTAATTAGGGCAGTGGTTAACGGTCGTATCTTGGCCACCAATACAGTAAGGAGGAATTGATTGTTATCATGTGTTTGGCAATTATAACTTGTTTATCAATGAATAAATGAAATTATTATTGCATCAATGATCAATTAAGTGAACAATTTTCGAAGTTATTCCTTGGCTAGAGTTTGTCTATTATTACTTCAATTTTAATAAATTGTCATTTATTTTTCATTTATTTATTTTATTTGAGTTGTTTAATATTGCCATTTTACTAAAAATCCCCTATACTCTGGACTCTAGAAGAAATGAATTTTCCTCAGTCCTTGTGGATTCGACATTACTCACCGTTATATATAAAATTTGTATTTTAATTGAGTAGATATTTATTGTTGTACAGACTCGACACCTATCAATATCATGTCCTCCTAATGTTTTCTGCAAAAAATCTACATAAAACTAAAAAGAAGAAAAGGAAAGAAAGGGGAAAAAATTTGAGAGAGAAATGAGAAAGCAAAACAAAAGGACACTGGACTCTCATGTTGTAGTTTTTCTTGAATTGTAGTATAGCTCAACAATAAAGAGGTTGTTACCTTCAGAAAGTAAAATTGAAGCCTCAGAATATATTAAATTTAAGCTAAGGTTGCAAAGAGAATGGTTCCCAAATTAGACAAAGATCACAACCACCACAGATTGGCTCCAAACTCAAAACGTGACCTAAAGTAGAACATGGTGATGCAGTAACATCAAACCTGCTCATGTGTATAGGAAATGAAACCATTGAAGATGCTCAAGAAAATCATATCAATCCATTGGATCCCGCTTGGGCTTATCGTTGGCAGACTTTAGCTCATACAACACTAGCTCATGCATTTGATTGTCTGATACGTTATAAAGTATCCAACAACCTACATGGAGAGTAACATAACAGATTAGGAGATGAGAAGTCAACCAGAATTCTAATCATGATCAATAAGGTAATACTTACAAATTTAATGATCAAACTAGGTGTTCTCTCTCCCCATTTTGAAGAAAAACTTTCGTGTAATCTTGTTATCCTCTAATTTTCCATTCAAATGCTTATTTTTCACTAGGCTAGAGATTGTGCATGCTTTTTTCACCCTTTTAAGAACAACAATCACCACTATTAAATGGAGTCAAACTGATTAAGAAAATAGATTTTTAGGGACTAAATAGTCACGGGTAGAACTTATGGTAAAAGAATCTTGATCCCAATACTTTCAGGATGCAAAATTACATTACCCTTTGAAGAAAACTATTGATATTGATTCATCTTAAATCAGCTAATTTAGTTTATCTTCCATAAAATATCAGTTTAAGGACTTTAAATTGTCATGTGAAGTTTAAGTAGGACTAAATTTTTATTGGAATATTTTAATATGGTTTTATAATGTTGTATTATAAATTTTAGTTAAGCATGAATAGATACATAGGTTATAGCTTTTATTTCTTTAGTTTTTGCCCCTAAAAGAACATCAATTAACGTTAAGAGATACAAGTTGCCAAGGCAAAAACATTGTTCTTTTTAGTATGGCCTTTTCATTTTTTTAATATATTTTTAACTTCTCTAGCCTACTTTGTTTTCAACTGTACTTGATTCAGGGATTAAATTTCTTCCCATTGTGTTGTAATACTAAATAAATTCAAGGCAAAAAAATTAATTGTGCTATCCACAGTTCTAATTGGTTGTACTTATAAGTTCTAAATAAATTTCCTTGACTTAGGACTCAATGTCTTTCATGGCCACAGGGGGGTTTCTTTAATGGCCATCCATTTAGCACTTCACAGTGTGCATTTTAGCAGGGTATAAAGTTATTTCGATTTCAAAAGTTTCTGAAATTTGCCTCATCCTAGAAAAATATTCTTGAATTCAATAGTTGATCCCAATGCGCTAAAGATGCAAAATTACATTAGCCCTCTTGTAAAATGTTGACTTAACTAAAGAAAACAATTGATAATCGATTCAACTTACTACTGTGATTGGTAAGACACTATATCAACCTGGTCAATTTATATTCAAGAAAATATTAGTTTAAGTGCTTTAAAGTATCCTATTCAGTATAAGTAGGATTGGATTATTTTTCTTTTTTGGGTGTAATACTAGAATTTTAGAAACATAACTACTTTGCAGATTTGATTTTTTTAAATGTTTTTTTTATAATGTAAGTAGAAGGGCAGGACTTCTCACTTACATTCTCTCCCTCCCGAACCAGCCAACCCACTTACATTCCCTCCTCGTGAATCACCTAACCCATACATCCTCCAAATTTACTTCTTGTATTTCATAATTTTCTGGAGGAATCTTCTCTTTTCCTTTCAAATTATTCAACAAAATATTGTATGATAAGGATTATTGTACGTACCAAAGCGCAAGCATATGAAGACTATATTTTTCAAACCAGTTGGCCATTTAATTAGAAGTTGAATATCTAAAAAATTAGGGATAATTTCAGAAACCTCTGTTGAGGTTTTTAACAATTTTATTTAGCTCCCTTAAGATTTAAAAAATTACACATACTCCCTTGTCATTTAAAATGACAATACTATCCTTAAATATTTTAATGAAATTCTCTTGTTTGGTATGCTTATGCTTAGAATGACTTTTAAATTAATTTTTTCATTCTTTTTTCTTCTTATTCCTTCTTTTTAATTTTTTACCACTAAAACTGTAGAACTACCATTATTACCTCTAGTTTCTATCGTAATCAAATGTCGAACTAGTGATTTTTTTTATGAGTTAACTCATATGTAATCCAATGTTTTTGCTGATTTTTGTTTTCTATTTTTTGGTGTTAAAATTAATAATAAATAAAAAAAATAGTCTAAAATCACTACTAAATTATGATAATCCTACTACTCGAAAAATTCATAAACTCTAAATGAATTATTTCAACATTTTTTTTCTATCTTATAAATCTAAATCCATAATAAAATATTATCAAAAGTATCTTATCATAGTGATAAAATTATTATTATTATAGTTATTTATCAAATAGTAGGTATGAACATAAAAAATTCGGCACATTTTATACTAGATAATCTTATAATTGTATAGGGAAATAAATTAGAACTCATTACACAAGGGCATTTTTGGATATTCAATTAAAAATTTGACCAAATCAATATTATTTTAAGATTTTGTTACTAAAACTATCAAATCAAGGGAGATGGGTGTTATTTTTCAAATCTCAGAAGAGCTTAGTAAAATTGTTAAAAACCTCAGGGGAGGTTTTTAGCCATTCAAAGACTGAATACTTAAGGTCCGTTTGGTTCATGGACTAGATGAAATGTGATGACTAATGCTTAGATTATTAATCCCGAATTGAGTCATCCCCAGATAAATAATCCAAGTTATCTAGCGTTTGGTTGGTTCTCGGTTGGATAGGATAAGTTAAAAAACAATCCTATCCTGTGTTTGGTTGGAGATTAGATGTCAAACTGTGTGTGATTGTTTTAAGTTCTTGTGACTAATATCATTGTAAAAGACAGAAAAGTTCCCTGGATGCCTTTCAAATCCTCTTAGAGCTTCGGTATCTATAGACGAATTTACCACTATCATCACCCAAAATCGAAAGACGCCATGAATGAACAAATTAAATCTCCAACACCCACTTTAGTACTAGTAGTGCCACTGCCTACTCAAGGTTCATCATTGTCATCATCATTCTTGGTCGCGGAAGATTATGGCACAAGCAAAAGAAAAAAGGAAGAAACAGGTTTAAGCGTGCAAAATATTAACTCTAATAAAGATTTTCACGAAACAGAACTATGCAAATGCAGTTTTTCCTCTGGATGCCTTTCAAATGACAACTAAGAAAATGAACTTGAAACTGGGTACAAACAAATAGATTGACAGAGCAAGATGTTTAGACACGAGAAAGAAAACTTTGGCATCTTAATAATGGACAAGGGCAACCGTTGCGGTTGTGGCCATTTTCAACAGCGCGTAATTTTGATTGCACACAGCGTAACTTTATTTGCACAACGTGTAATTTTAGTACAAAATTTTGTGGGTCCCACACATGGTGTGAAAATCGATGCACAACTTGTGATCTGGACCACACAATTTGTTGAGGCCAAATCATGACCGCTCCTGCCCCATTTCCCTTGATAATATATTATTGATATATCAGCATACTTAAGGTGGATAATATAACTTATTTTGCTTCATGTTTCAAATCTTGGCATCATCGTGCAACAAAAGATATTGGAAAGTGTGGCGACCCCACTTTCCCCTAAGGCGAACCAGAGGGTTGGCGGGCCGTCTGCCTAGCTCTCGCCAGGACTCACGCAAGCAAGCTAGCAAAAATCCTTCCGAAGTATAACCTAATCTATTACAACATCGTTTCCCTCCAAATAGGCCGGTTTCTAGAATCACATTAACTTCAGAGATAACAGTGCCTTAAGATAGCCAACATCGATTCTTAAAATACCTTCCCGAATACAACCCAAGAAACAAAACATCAATTCAAATACATCCTTACAAGCCAAGTAACAAATTTATACAAGCCACATACAAATCCAGGGTTTACACTTTTCCAGCTTCAAGTGGCAACCTAAGGCAAAACTACAATGTTTAACTCAAATTACATTCATGAAAGTAAACAATCTAGTACTACTTCCGAGCACATTTGAGACGGCTACATTGTTTAATTCAAACTACATGCTTAAAGTACAAGTAGATCTCAAGTCTTCCTCAGTTGTCAGAACCTGTAAAAAGAAAACCACAACGTGGGATGAGCTACACAGCCCAGTGAGGTTCCAAAACGCTCTAACAGTTCAAATAGGTCAAGTAAGTTGTGCATATCATATGCATGATTCGAGGTTACACAATGGCATGTTACCATGAGGTGATAATCATTACACGGGTAATTGCTACCTTGAAAACACATGTAGGACTAGTACTTTTGGAATGAATGGCCATATAAATATATTTTCATAAAATTTCAGTCAAACAAATAGTGGCTCGTCCGACTAGAAGAACATTACAAGGATTGCTTTATCTCAGAGGTTAATGCTCATGAGGAGTCTTACCCGAGAATGCCAACTAGGAGAGCAATAATATTATTAATAGTAAAGCAAGCACGAAAGGATACGGTGTTCCAGTGGAACTTTGTCGGTCATCGGCACCTTATAACTCCCGGATCCCCACGGTTGACTGGCCATCACCTTATCCCTCCAGTAGTAGTACTCGAGTAAACCGAAACGGTTGTCCAGGGTTCCAACCTACCCGACCGAGCCCAGTCCTGGCTCGAGTAGGTCAGTAACCGAGGCAGGGCCCAAGTTCAGCTTATAGCTTACAACATGCACAGGTAACCAAGTAATTCGACAAAAAGTAAAATTCATCATTTGCATAGGTCGAGTGAGGTAAAGTACACACTCGCCTAACAATGATGGACAATTTCATATAACATGTGATTCATGATAATCAAGTAATCAAGTGGATACTTAGCACGTAAGCACGTAAGCAATACAAGTTGATTTCATGGGAGCATGTAATTCACGGATATCGAATAATCATATAGATTAGAAATCATATGAGCAAATAGTCAGGTAGTCATGTGGGTTGGTAAACGGTTCACGGTTAACGGTTCACGGTTGACGGTTAACGGTTGAGTAATGACGGTTATTTGGCAGGCATTTGCCATATTAATAGGCCATCATTGGCCATTATCCCATTTTTTCCATGTGAGAGTCGAGGAGATTCACTCCAACGACGTTACTACATTTAGATTCACGAGAAAATGTTTCACGCAAGTCACCACTCGAACGGCTAGTGTGATAAAGTACACACTGCGCACTTCGATGGATCGGAACTCATTTTCCAAATTGTCACATAACGAGTCACAAGAGCACTTTAACCCAATAAGCATAAAACAAGCAGGCTAAGCACGTATTGAGTTTATAAGATCATTTGATAGGGTTAATCATTTAACCAATTCATGTCGATATGCAATGCATATATATATTTCTTAAATAGGCACGAGTATGGTAAACACTTAACGATCATGAAATGAGCATGTCCTAGACTTACTAAATTACGTATTCCTATATGGAACACTCACCTAGCAACAAGGGCAATAGGTTCAATTTGAAGTTCAAGCGTCCTCTGTCGGATCCTCTTAAAGGTCCTCGTGTGCGCCTGAACGAATAGTAATAGTCTATCATTTACAATCCCTACTATTGCTGAAAATCGTGACATAGTACAAACTTAGGAAAAATCTCGTGAACAAGTCTTAATTATCCTAAATCTAGATTCTCAAGCGGGGTTTCAAGGTACAAGAGAAATTAAGTCTACATCATGAAATTCAAGGATAAGACATTTGAATATTATCGAAGGAATAAGGAGTACTTGAAAAACTCCATTTCCTTGGAATTCGGAAAATTTCAGTTTTGATGCAATACTTTGAAAAATCGTAGCTCACCTTTTACATGTCAAAGATTGGAAAACTTGGTACCGTTGGAAACTTCCTTCAAAATGCTAAAAGTTCCTAGAATACACTTTTTCATGATTCTAAATGGAAGATAGTCAAAATGGGCTCAAAGTTACTGTTTTGGTTCATAAGGCAGATTAAAGTTGGTTTTTGGCCAACTTTGGAATTTCGGCAAAATTCACTTGTTTGGAACTAGCTTTTGAAATTTGCAACTCTATTAGTGTTGTAATTCAAGAGTATAACAAAACAAACGGAATGAGAAACGGGGTTTTGAGCACCAAGATACGGTAGCTCAAAGTTACTAAAATTTTCTTGTGAAACATGGGTTTTTCAAACTCGAGTCATGAACTTTGGTAATTTATTTGACCCATGAATCGGCCTCGGAATAACACCATAATTAGCAGTATAATACTACCATATAAGGGTTGTTCCTCTACCAAATTTCATGGAAAAATAACTTCGGAAAGGTGGTCAATCAAACACCTAAAATTTCGCAAATACTAAGACAAAACTGCCTTGAACCTTTTGTTTTTCCATTTCAGACATTTGGTCAAAGGAAAATTCCTCCAAACCTGGTTCATGGTACATTTGGTAAGTGTTTAGCATCAAAATATTCAGTTAGCAAGTCTTTGCCAAACCTTGCATCAAATCTGTCTAAAAATCAGGGTTTTCAAGGACAGAGCAGGTTTCATATTTTGATCACAGATCACTCAAATTAACTCAGAATTTGGCATGGTTTAAGGCGTTGGAAAATACATTCATAGAGCTATAATTTCACAGAAGAAATCATTTTGAAATTCGGCACACAACTAGCTCGAATTCGAGTCACAAGTTGCAGCCTCAGCATTTTGTTCTTGTAAAGCAGAGAAACAGAACAGCCGACTTAAAATAGTTGTTTTGGCTCACATACATGGAACCAGAATGTGCATTTTATATCGTCGGAAAGGTTGGAATGTCTAGTTTCAAATGCCGCTGACGGCACTCGATTTCGACATCGGAGTTCAAAATTATGGCCGAAATACGAAAGCTGGTCAGAGCATTTCGGAAATAGTTCCAGATTTACTAGCTTTGTTAAATCGATTTATTTGACCAACCAAACCTCAATATTTTTCAATGAAACTTTGTACACCATATATTCAACATATCAACATGATATACAAGTCATGAAACCCTCAAAATTTTGCAAAAAGGGGTGCGATTAAAACAGGGCAAATCTGAACATTTTTGAACTATGCATCTTTTGGAGTCTAGACTAGCTAGGTATCATTAATCTACCTATTTAAACACTAAACTAGCATTATATCCATCATCAATCCAAGGGTGGGAGTTCATAGAGCCCACCATCAAAATTTTCCGACATGAAATAAAACAAATAACATGTAATTTTGGCAAATAATTCCACCACAATAAATCTGTCATCGGCTAAACAGAATTTCCAGCAGCTAATTGGTCATAAATCCAACTTTTTACTCGGCTAATACATGATATTAAGTACTCAAATCCGACAAGCAAATACTTGACTAGCTAATCAGATCATCCAAGTCATTGTGGGAATTCATAGAGCCCACTCACCAAGTTTCCATTAAAACTCAAAAGAGCCACCATCGGCTAAGCTGGAAAAAAAATTGCAGCAGCTATGTTTCAACATTTTGGTCAATTCATCCAACGGATCAAGTACTTTACAACTGAATATCTTACAAGACTTAAGACACATATATTTCATGCATTAACTTATCTTAACCAATTAACACTTCTAGTTCGGAATTAAATTCAAACAATGGTCATAAACCTCAAAATTTCCAGGTTCAACCTCACGGTAGTTCACAAAATTTTCCAGCGATTGTATGTTTTTATTACAACTTTTTCCTTGGCTAAAACAGAGTATTAAGGTCTCAATTCAACATGTCATCACTTAACTAGTTAATTAACATATCTAGCTCAGGAATTACTTTCGATTAACAACAAAAAATCCTCCAAAATTTCCAGAAATTTCCAGCTTCAAACCTCGGTTGTTGTGGCATGAAAACTGATTGCATTGATTTTATTTCGGTTTTAACCCAACTAATTAGCCACATGCAAAGCTCAATTATCTCGTTATTAGCTAGTTAGTTATGGTTATAGGCTCAAAGCAACAAGATTAAACCAAATGAAGCTATATTATTCAAGGTAGACTCTCGGTAGAAATTTTTCATCAAAACAGAATTTTCCTAAGCTCCTTAATTCATCATCCAACTTCATAAAATTATCATGCAAGGCCCTAATCAGCTTAACCATCCTAGTTTTAATTAGCTAAACACGGTTTCATGCTCAGATTGTCGAAATTAAGCAGATTACAACTGCATTTTTCATCTCAAACTCACGACAGAAATCATTTTCACTGGATCGGATTTTTCTCAAGCTCCTAATTCCTCATCCGGACACTCAATCCAGCATGCGTACATTAATCTTTGTGTTATCAACTTAGCTAATCACAGCCTTATGCTCAGATGATCACAGCTAGCAAAGTAAGAACCGAAATTTCCAGAAACAAGCCGCAATTCCAGCTTCAAACTTTCGACAGCTTTAATTCTTTTCCAAATCAGATTTCTTAAGTCACAATTCCTCATCTAACCTCACAAGCACCACATGCAAGTCCATAGCTGACCTCACTTGCCTATAACCAACTAATTTCAGTTCAGAAGTTACCTCAAATGGAGCTCACACACACGGTTAGCAGCAGAAATAGTCCTCCTCCCTTCGGCAGCCCAGAAAATGCAGACCACTAGCTCTCTCTCTCCCTTGCTCTGGGTTGCGGCTGGAATGGAGAAAGTTCAGCCCTTAGTCCCTTCACCAGCTCACGGTTAGAAGACAAAATGAATCGCAAGTCCCTCTCTTCCCTCTCTAGCTTACGGACGGAAAGAAAAGAAACAAGAAGCTCGGCTCTCCCTCACTCTCACTCTCGGCTTGCAGAGTGCAGCTCTCTCTCTCTCTCTCTCTCTTGGTCGATGATTACAAGGTGAGGAAATGTTGTTGTGGTTTGGGCTGAGGTAACAATGGAGAGGAAATGGAGATGAATGGCAGATAAGGTGCCGCGGTTTGTAATATGAGATGATGAGGAAGTATTGTGGTGCCGTGGTTTCGGATGTGAAATGGGGTAATGGTATAAGGTGCCGCGGTTTTAGGAGTAGAGGTTTCGTGTATTAAAATCGGTTGCGTATAGAATTGGTGATAGTTGCAGTAATTGAACTTGCGGTCAGAGGTTTTGTTTGGTTTGCATGGAAAGGTAAGGGCATTTTAGTCTTTTTACTTTGCTCCCTAACTTCAACTTAATTTCTCAATTCCACCTTAATTCTAAGAATTATCCCCAAGTGTGATTTGAACGCCTAAATATACACTAGTATACTTAAACCATTTTTATCGAATAATTATCGATTAAACTTGAATATTGAGATTCCTAGTAATTCTTATATTATTTAGCGATAGTAAATTAATTATTAGAATTTCCAATTATTATTTCTCAAGGAATAGAGTTAGTCTAACTCGAAATTTATCGATTTAGTAATGTAAAGTCAAGTGAAATAATAATCAAATCCAAGGATGTCAATTTGCACATAAAAATTATTTTTATGCACTTATTGTGAAAACAAAGAAAGATAAGGATATATTTATCGAATTTTTCACGCCTTAAGTATGTTTAGTATATTAGAATCATATTTATCTAAAATTCATTGGTTTTCATCTTAACGCGAAAATTCTTATTAACATTTAACGTTAGCAACTAATTGGAATTAATTATTGAAATTCAAGAAATTTTATATAATTAATCTACTTAGGTAGTATAAATTTTAACATAGAGAAGACTAAGTATTTTAGCATTTTATGTTAAGGCGATAAATTATTCTAACTCCAAAGATTTTAATTTAGTCTAACAAAACCAAGAAATTTCATAACTTAGGAAAATTATATTATTTCTCACATGACAAGTGTTTTTACGAACTTATTTGGAAACAGGTGAAAGTAATGCTAGAAATTATTAAAGAATTAAAGAAAATGCAAATGAAATATGCACAGGTTTATATATATATTTTTGGGGTCCTCACAGAAAGATTATTTGAGTGGAACAAACATGATCAGTTGGATTAAGTAAAAGAACGTACTTTCATGCCGAGGTATTCGGAAAATACTTAATTTGACATTTTATCTTTTGAAGTGCTGCCACAACATCCTTCATATTAGTCCGATCTCGCGGGCATTTAGCACAGCAACTCAAAGCCAATTTGAAGATCACTGAAATACACTCCAATTTCTCATTGAAATGCTCATCTTGTCGCCCAAGTAGGTTTGCATCTACAACCTGAGTTGTTGCATTAGGCAGAGATTCTTCAATCCAACTCTTCAGGCTCAAATCATCTTTGAACATTTCATCACTAGGCTTCATTCTTGAAAAGGTTTCCATCAAAACTATGCCAAAACTATACACATCAACCCTTGTTGACACCTGCCCTTCAAGTCCATACTCTGTGATATGAAAGGCAATCCATCACCCTTAAAGTGAGAAAAATAGAAAACTTGGAAGATTGACATATAGTTCATGAAAAAAAACAGATAAAAAAAGCAACTAAAAAGAAGTCAAATATGCCAAACCTGGTGCCAAGTATCCAAGCGTTGCAAGTGTCTTGGTATGCAGAACACTATTTCTCTCATCCAGAAACTTTGTCATGCCAAAATCACTTACATGAGCAACCATATTTTCGTCGAGCAATATGTTGCTAGGTTTCAGATCGCAGTGAACCATTGGTGTTGTATAACCAAAATGGAGATATTCCAATGCGGAAGCAACATCCATCATTATGCTTATCCTTTGCAGCAGATCCAGGCAATGGTTGTGGGAGTACAACCATTTCTCAAGGCTCCCATTAGACTTATAATCAAGCACTAAGGCTTTAAAGTCCAAGTTAGAGCAGCTACCAATCACTTTGGTTAGGTTTCTATGGCGAAGATTGCGTAGAACTTCACATTCTGTATCAAAACTCCTGGAATTGACATCTGCTAGTAAAGTGAAAACTTTTACGGCTACAACTGTCCTATCCGTTAAAATACCCTTATATACAGATCCAAAACTCCCTTTGCCAAGTAAATTCGTTTCATCATAACCATTGGTTGCTTGCACAAGTTCAGAGTATGAAATCATTTTTGGCAAACCCATGGGCAACAAATCAGTATTTCTTGAAACCCCATCTTTCCTTGGGCATCTTAAAAGTAAAATTGCAGCAGCTGTAACAGCAATTATTGTTGCTGCAATACCTGATAGAATGCCTAGCAGGTGAAATACTTTCTTTTGACTCGATTTGTGAATCCGAGGAGAACGACATGGAGGAACATGAAATCTTTGAGCGCCACACAAGTCATCATTAAACATGAATGATTCGTATGTGAACTTCTTGAAAGGACCACTAGAGGGAATTTCTCCTCTTAAGTGGTTGAAAAAAAGATTAATGTATTTGAGATATATAAGTGTCTCCAAGGACTTTGGTATTGGACCTGATAGATTATTATTGGATAGCTCCAAAAATTCCAAGCTTAACATCTGATTGAGAGAGTCTGGAACAGGTCCCTGAAGTTTATTTTGTGCTAATGAAAGCTTTGCTAAACTTTGCAAGCCTCCTAAGGAACTTGGAATATTCCCATTAAGGTGATTTCCCGACAAATCTAATAGTGTTACTACCTTCAAATTTCCAGTTTCATAAGGTAGTGAGCCACTCAATGAATTATATGACAGGTTCAACGTCAAGAGATCAGTGAGGTTCCACAAGCTACCAGGTATGCTTGAGTTTAATAAGTTCCCGGCAAAGTCAATTTCTTCCAAGGAACTTATATTATTTAGGCATGATGGCATTGAGCCACGAAAGATGTTTTGCCCCGGATAGATTTGGTACAATCTCTTTAACTTGCAAATGCAATCTGGAATTGAACCACTTAATTGATTATCATCCAAAAACAATGCTTGAAGATTTTGCAAGTATTTCATTGTCACCGGAACGGGCCCACTCAGGTGATTTCCATATAGATTCAAAATGATTAGGCTGCTCAAATTCCCAATTCCATCGGGAATGCTTCCCTTTATTCCGCAACCATATGCATAGAATCTCTCCATAGAAGTTGAGAGATTCCCAACTGACATCGGAAGAAAACCGTGCAGCGGATTTTCAGCAAAACCTAATAGTTTGAGACAATTGCAATTTGTTAAGTAACTGATAAAGCTCAATTCTCTCGATGAAGGTTCAGTTGTCAAATGATTATCAACGAGATCCAAATCTCTTAGAAGTCTTAGGTTTCCAAGAGAGTTTGGAACTGGACCGCTGAATCTATTTCCACCCAAGTCTAAATGAGTAAGCTTAGACGCGTGTGAGGTTGAGGCTGGTAGCACTCCATCAAACTCATTTGAAAAGACAGCAAGCACTTCAAGGTTGACCAATCCATAACCCATGGATGATGGAAGCCTCCCAGAAAGCGTATTGTTCGATAGGTCCAGTTCTCGCAGTGTCGAGATGTTGAAGATTTGGGCTGGTATGGATCCAGTTAGGCTATTGGAGCCCAAAGCAAGTTTTGCAAGATGCTTTAGGCGGCCAAGCTCGTGCGGAACACTGCCTAGAGAGTTACCACGTCTACAAATGTTAGTGCATGCTACGGATTAATTTACTTGCGCTAGAATGTTGTACGGTCTTTTTTACTACCACATATGTTTAATAAGAAAATTCTTTGTATTCTTCTTTAGTTACCGAAAGTGTTACCAACTATTTTTTCAGGTTTGATAAGTAATTACCTTTATGTTATTCTATAATTTGTGTACCTCCGGATTTCCTTCATACAAGCCTTCACATTACTAATCACTAAATTATTTAATTTTTAAAGAATATATAACTTCTTTTTTTTTTCTAATTTCAGCTAAAATGCAAAAAGAGTTGGGCTATTACCAGCAAAAGTAATAGTCTCCAATGACGAAATATTGAACACCCCCCATGGCAAAGGACAGGAAATCTGATAGTTAATTGTTGATGTTCACTATCTTCATTTTTGTTTAGATTCCGAATCTCTATTAGAATTGTCCCTCGTAGAGAATTGATGTTTCTAGCTTTGGTGACATGAGATTAATTAGCTTTGAAATATTTATTCTAAAATATAAAACAAAGTTACATTAGATTACGAACCTTGTAATGCATACCAAGGTCAAGGGACACTTAGTAATACACGCAACTTATTATGTAAATGCCTCTTTGCATTTAGTCAAATTTCCCTCAATGACAATTAAAACATGGGAGTTTTTTGCCAAAATAACACTCTTTCTAAAAAATATTCCCAATATGATTCACTTTCAAATTTTATTCCCAAATCGATGTTATTGTTGGCATCTAATTACCCTGATTGCCATGTAGTATAACAATAAAGGAAAGCTTTAATCTAGTCTATACTTTCCAACAAAAATTAAAAATTTAAATTTTTTTATTATAGAGGCACCAGAAGATTGCATAACTTTAATAATTTCCTTATAATTATTTAAAATAAATTCTTCCATTATTGACCTTGCTATTAGTGCTCTTTGTAATTTTTTTAAATGTATCAAACTTATTGCATATATTTTTCAAAAATAAATTTGCAAAATACAAAAGTTGCAATGAAAATTGTAAGCAATAACAAGAAAAAGTTACAAAAACTTCAAGGCTATCATATTTGTTTTATGTTATGCTTCCGACTGCTTGAAAAGAACTTTTACAAAAAGTAATCAAACTATTGCAATTGAGATAATGCTAAAGTTTCTTGAAAGTAACACAAGCCATTAATTGATGTTGAATAAATGTACAAAAATACTTCAAGTATACGAGATTATTTGATCATGTGATAGAGAGGCGCTACAAATGAACATGCTTATATATGTGGCGGAAATCAAACATATTGAGTATGAATCTATGTTGTTATGTAGTTTTCCTATTAACATTTTATCAAACACACGGTGTGAGAAATCATTTGTTAAAACAATTAGTATTCAAAATTTTTGAAGGCCATAGGAATGTTCCAAAAATTGCACAATAGAAAAGATAAGAGAATAATCTTCATTTACCTTGAGATTATCAAATTGAGAAGAATATTTTCATCCACAGATATAATATCAGGAATGACAATGAAGTTTTAGATGTTGTTAATATAAATATTGGCTTCTGGCAATTACATTTGACAAGGAAAAATAATGAAAGAACGAAAAATAACGAACCGAAAAAAAAGGTGGGAAGGTTCAAAGAGAGAATTAGGGAAAATATTAGTTGGGAAAGAGAGATGGAATGTGCTTCTATCTCTATCCTGCCACATATGCAACCTATGTGACAAAAAAAGAATTATAAAGGTAATAAATTTTAAAACTAGGTTACTTTGGATATTTGTTTCGAAAGAAGAGTTATTTTGGCAATAAACTCAAAACATGGAGCCGTATTGTCGTGTGTCCAGTTAGGCTAGCCTTTTAAATTATTAATCAATAGTTTTATATTTGAATTTGATTGTCAGGTAAATACGGCAAATAGTTATATGCGCATTTATCTGATACATGCTAAAATTCAAGAGGTAGGATGGTACCAATCAAATTGCTGCCCCCAAGACATAGTTCCACCAGCGCCGTCAAGTTCCCAAATCCTTCCGGTATCACTCCAATCAAATTGTTGTCCCCAAGACATAGTTCCCCTAGCGCCGTCAAGTTCCCATATCCTTCCGGTATCACTCCAACCAAATTGTTCCAGCCAAGATGTAGTCGCTTGAGCGCCGTCAAGTTCCCAAATCCTTCCGGTATCACTCCACTCAAATTGTTGCCACCCAACCTCAGTAGCTGAAGCTTCGAACACTCCGATAACGATGGTGGTATCACACCACTTAATTTGTTGAGGGAAAGGTCAAGCAATGTGAGCCCGAAGACGGGGACATATGCTGGATGGAAGACTGCCAGATAAGCTATTACTTCGAAGAGCAATAGCTTCCAGTGAGGAAATATTGAACAGCCCCAGTGGCAGAAAACCGGAAAGCTGATTAAAGTCGAGGACAATTTGCTTCAACTTTTTTAATTTCCCAATCTCCATTGGTATTGCTCCTTGTAGAGAATTAAACTGCAGATTTAATGTCTCCAGCTTTGACATGTTGGAGATAGAAGGTGGGATAAAGCCTGTAAAGCTATTGTTCTTTAGAAAAAATTGTCGGAGTTGTTGGAAGGAACCAACCCAAGAGGGAATATTTCCTCTAAGCATGTTAATGCCTAAACTGAGGACTCGTAACCTGGACAGACGAATCAATTCATGGGGAAGTTCTCCGTAAAAGTTGTTCCTGCTCATATCTAGGGACGTGAGAAAGGAGAGATTGCCCAGTTGCGGAGGAATGGTGCCACCGTGCCAGTAAGGCCCAAGTTGGAGATATTCAAGGCAGTGACTCTGCGGTGGCGAGAGCCGCAAGTGACTCCTCTCCAGTCACAAACTGAGAAAGTAGCCGACCAGTTGCTTGCCAAGATTTCGTGAGGATCCCCAGTGATTTTGGCTTTCAATGAGACAAGGGCTGATTGATCCGAGGTAATGTTGGGGGCGGCTAAGCAAGATAAGAGAGAACCTAGCAAGAAGAGTCCAAGGGGAAAATACAAGTGAGATAATTTCTTCATGACCATACTCTCAGTTTTGCTAGCATTTAAGAAAACAGACACGAGCTAACAATGTCTATTACATGTACTTATCTATATATATACCAGACACTTGGTACATCTAATGCACGTATGCCAGGACAAAGATGAGACACTAATAGCATGAATTCTGACCGGATGAAATTTGGTTATGGAATTATCTTCCAGATCAAAACATACTTCTGTATACCAAGTCAACGCCGGTTCTTTTTTATTTTTTACTTTAATCAAATTTTAAAAACCTAAATACCCTCTATTTTCTCCCAGATCATTTATAGGGGGATATTAGGTGTCAATCCCCCAGAAAAAATTGTCAATTATCAATAGTTTTCAATTTCTTTATTCTTTAGATAACCACAAATTAAAGCAAGTAAATCTAATCTACAATCATAAAATTAAATAAAGTGAAAATGACATTTCAAAGCTCCTACGGTTATGAAATTTCTTCCTACTCTTACAAGTAAAATTACTGGTTAATTAAATATTACTATCTTAACTAAACACGGTGTAATTTTCTAATCTATGTAAAACATATTCTTGTAGTGAATCATCTATACTTGTTATCAAACTATAACTACTCTCGTAGTTATAAAATTAAATATAAGTTCATTTTTTCGGTGAAATTATATAAAATAATACGACCAGAGCCAAAAAAAAAGTGCACATCTATTTTCGTGAGTACACTTAGTGTTAAATTTTAATTCTCATTGCAAATCTAATACTTTGAAATTATCATAGTTAATGGCCAGTAATCATGATTAGATAAATAAAATTGTTAAATAACTTGTTCAAAATTATAGTATCAAATAACCAAGTAAACATCACAAACAAGATACAGGAAGTTCATCCATAACTCTAGACATACACTTTAACAACACATGATGAATATAAAATCCAAATTTGTATAACAATTAAACAATAGAATCCAATACAAAAGACAAAAGAATCCAACCATGAATCTTTTATTAATTGGGCTAATGTCTCTTCAAACTAAACTCGATCTTCTTTAAAATTAGAAACATGCTTGGAAATTTGATTTTTTTTTTTTAAATGAAAGTTGAAAGATGATCGAACCTGTTGGGCCAAAGTTTTTTTTTTTTTTTTTAAACTCAGATCAAAAAGTTATATGTTTAAGCAAATAAACTATCAAATGAAAGTATAAAAAATGACAGTGCCTGAACCCAACAAACAACAAATGAAGTATCAAAGAATTAAATTACCAAAATTGGAAGAAAGCGTCTAAAAAACTCGGAAGAAAGTATTAAAAAATACCCTTTTACATAATCTTTTAAAGATTAAAACCGTAGAAACATATAAAAAGATGTAGATTACACTTAAAAGAATATTTGGCTAACTTTTTCATTCACATTTTGATCTTTAAGAAAACATATATGAGTCACAACATTAAGTGCTCGTGTCCTTCCATACAGTCATTTTTCGAAAAGAACTAATAGGTTGCATTTTGTCATTTAATTTACGATTATTTTCCCCTTAATTTTAGCCAAGCATTGCATTAATTGGCATATTCTATTTATTTTTGGTGATTGGTGTTGTTTGTAGGGATCCAGAACGAAAAGAATTTAAGAACGTAGTTTTTAACTAGGTTTCTATACACTTCGACGTGGGTGCATCAGGCTCTAACTTTACATGTCCAGAAACTTGGGATCAGGCACGTGACTTTCAATCTTGAATTTTAGTCAGTTTCAAACCATGGAAGTCAGACTCTCTCACAACTAGCCTCCTATTTCTGTTAGGACACCAGTTTAGTTAGTTATCTTGACTTTTTGGAAACAATCTTTTTATAAGAGATATAGGAGATGAAATCCGAAAAAATAGCATCGTAACTTTTTATTTTCTCCTTTGTCATAAGAAATGAACGGACGTCTTTTCTTTTCTTGTTCATCGCACTTTTTGGAGAATGGCTGTAGCACTAAACTCAAATATTTCGCGCGCGCCTTTTTTCATGATGACGAACTAAACACTTTATTCTAGTAAAAAATAACAGAGGAATTGGTTCATCTAAAATTATGAGATTGACTTGATAATATTTAGTTCTTTTATTACTGGAATTCGTATGTTCTCTAATTTAATTTCTTATTGCTATTATATTGTTTGAAGATCAAGGGCGTCCGATATTTAATTCAATCTAATAACCTAAAATCAATTAGAATAGTTAAATCCATAATTATTTAATTGCTTTACAATAATCGTAACTGGCATGATTGGATTTGTGTCAGGAACATATAAGTTAATTTAAAATAACTCTTGTAACGTGTTATTTAGTTAGAATAGGGCTTCTCTACTTCTTAAAGCAATTGAAAAATTGAATTATAAGGTCGTACCTATGGTTATTTCTTAATTAGGGCAGTAGTTAACCATCGTACCTTAATCATCAATATAGGAAGAAGAAGTTGATTGTCATCGCTGGTTTGCCAGTTATAACTTTGTTTATCCGTTAATAAGTTAATTTATTATTGCATCAGTGATCAATTTTAGTGAATCATTTCCGAAATTATTCCTTGGTCAGTTAGGCCTTGTTATTTGAGTTATTTAATTATTCTCATTTTTATAAATATTTCCCTTACTCTGTGCTCTAGAAGAAACGAATTATTCTCAGTCCCCGTGGATTCGACCGTTCTAACCATTCTATGCAAAATTTATATTTTATTTGAATAGGTATTTATTATTATACAAACTCAATACCTGTCAAGAACAACCGTTCATTACACCAATTTTTGTGGCTATATTGAGCACTCGCTCACAACTCACTTTCGGTTGCACTCGCTCTCTCAACTTCTTCATCTGTTTTTTCTTCAAGACATTTTTATAAGCCTTCGACGTGTATTATGGGCTAACGGGCTAAGACAAACCGAGACGACCAAGAATTTGGGATGTACAACGACACCACAATGCCATTTTTCCACATAATCGGAACATTATCTTCCCATTCGACGCAGAACACAATTTTGTATTTTATACTCATCTTCCCAATCAAGCCGAAAGACATACAAACAAATTTTGCTGATCTTAGACGTAAATCTATGAAATTGTATTGCTTAAATTCATCATTCAATCGTTTTCCTCAGTTGCAGTCTTTATTGCTGACAATGCCATAGTCGTCAAGGTGGTGAGGTGACTACAAATACAAAAGGGTACTTTGCCGGTGTTAACATTTGCATTTAGTGATACAAATTTATCTCTTTTTTTTTGGTTCCCACTCTTTCAAATATAGTCCAATGAGAAGCAAATTGAAGGTGTGAGAAAAAAATCTTTGCTTCCTATCTTTTAACTTCATATGATGACATGTAGAAGTATGTTGAAGGGAAAAAATCTTTGCTTCCTATCTTTAACTTCATTTGATGACATGTAGAAGTATGTTGAAGGGAAAAAATCTTTGAGTTTACACAAAATTAACAAAAGAAAACAAGAAAGAAGAAAATTCTTGTCATCACAAGATGACCTCAAATAAAGCAAGAGATGCAGACACTTATGTAAACTACAAATGAGTTGCTCTATGCTCTCATATTTTGGAAAATAAGTCGATCTCGGATCTTAAATAGGAAGTATGGATTAAATGATCTTCATAGATATCTTATAGATTTTCACGAGAAGAATTTCAGACCAGTTGTAATTTCAATTATTTGAGATAATTTGTACAAAAGGAAGACCAATTATTAATAGAGCTTCTATATTAAAATGCAATAATACTTTATCCAAGAGAATTCACAATTAAATCAATTAAGGAGCATTGTCCGAAATGAGGAACGAAAGTTATAAAATGTGGACCAACTATAGCCAAACACAAAATCTAAGAACATTGGACGAGTAAATTTTTAAAAGCTTTTCTTAAAGCAAAAGCTTGGGGTGGAGGTGAGGTGGACGGCAATGGTCATGGGGCATTTTCCCAAAATTATAAGGCAGCGAGATAAGGACTTCAAAAGTATTTCTCAAAATTAATGGGGTATCAAAGTTCAAAACTACAACCCCACCCACTCTCTCTCTTGCAATTTCTCATTTGCACTAATTCCACTCTGTATCCTTAATGTTTTTATCAATTCACTTTTTACCTTTCTATTTAAGGATGGCAACGGGGTGGGGACGGGGGATCTACAAATTCCTCCCGCCCCCACCCCTTCCCTCGTCCTCCGCTCCCCCCGCCCCGTCCTCGCCTTACCCAGCACCCACAGGACTAATAAAAATTTGTTATATAATTTTATTATAGTTAAATTTTAACAAATAATCAAATATTAAAATATCAACACATCACCAAATTATTATTCATTGTAATTTCACAATTGAAACTTATAAAAACAATCAAACAAAAGTTATTTCAATACAATCCAATATGATGAATAAATACAACTAAAGTAGTCAAGTTTTCACTTTTGGCACAAATACAATCACTAATTCATTATTATACTTGTGTTTTTTTTAAAAAAAAAATGTCATTGTATTAAGTGTAATTAAGGATTTAGTATAAATGTATTAATAAATTTAATATAACCAATTAATAATTTGTATTAGTACACATATATAATTATTAGTACAATTGATAATATCAATTATATTACATATACTAATATACATTATATAATACATATAACTAATAATATCATTATCATAAGTTTGTAACTAATTAATATTATATATATAATTATATACATA